TTCTTGTTTTGAAGGGCTCGTAGTCTGGCAGAACGTCGTACTTCAAATCCATTCAAAGGTCGCAAGGTTTGTGACTGACTCGGCGAATCTTGCGCACCTACCGGATCGTGCTGTTCTTGCACATGCTGTTGCACGCGAACCTGTGATACAGTCTCCGGGTTATCAGAAGTAATTTGGTCTTGTTTGTGGTCATTGTGTTGTTCATCATCACTACGTGGTTCACATTGTTCAGCTGGCGGTGATAGACGTTTGAGGTTCTTAGTATGCTCTATCCTCGCATACCATTGACCTTTTTTGTCTTTTGCAGCAACTTCGTACATATTCAACGCCACTCGACGGAGTACAACTACTTTCTCCCATACAGGTTCGTATTTTTGCCCTTGAACATGCTTTCTGCATAAGACTTCAGTATCTTTGGTGAGCGTCTCAGGCAGGTCATTCGGATTGTTGTCTGACCCTAGTAAGTCTTCATAACCTGCTCGTAACTCAATCGGCTTTAACAGCTCTAACTCAGGTTTGAATCGGAAGACCTTATTATGTGGACTTATCCCATTCCTCCTTGGGATCGTATTATGCTGTACGACTGCTGTCTTGACCAATTCTCTAAATGTGTTGTACGTCAAATTAACACTTCTATTAGCGCACCGTATATAAGCGTTGATGTCACGGTGTAGTCTTTCTACTTTACCATTGGACCAACTAGCGAACACTGCTGACCGCTCATGAATCGCTTTAATTGACCTCAAGTATTTCGAAAACCTATCCGAGATAAACACCGATCCATTATCAGTGTGCACTACTAACGGTGAAGTGCAAAACACCTCAGTAAGATATTGGAATGTCTCTACAATATCATTACTGGTTGGACAGTGTTTTGTAGGTTTAACCACTGCATATCCTGTTGCACTATCTATGATGGTTACAACATACATCAGAGACTCTCCATTAGAAGATCTATATGGGCCTACTATATCTGCATGTAATTTTGCGAAAGGAACCTCTGTATTGCGTTTCATAATTGAAGAATGCCACTGTTGCCTATCTCCTGCGAATGTTTTTCCCTTCTGACAGGCATCACATATTGCTACTGCATGTTTACAATGTTGTTTCAGATTTTCCATATTTACCCAGGGTTTCAACCGCTCATACAATCCTGTAGCACCTTCATGATTATGCAATTCTGTCGTGAATTTATCTGCTTGATCTTCTGGTACAATTACTTTCCCATCATCTGTTTGGGCTAATGTACTTATCCAATGTCTCTGATCGAACAACTCATTCGGTGTAAGAGGATCTACTGCATGTGGATCACCTACTGCCACTACTTCGTCTTTTTCACTTCCCGTGTTAAACAACGATCGAGAAGTAAGTTCTTGTCTTAACATGTATGATGGTACCCTTGACAATTCATCAGCTAGGTTCTCCTCTGATGGTATCCATTCAACTTTGACATCTAATTGATTATATTTAACCGTATCTTCATAGTACTGTAAGCGTGACTCAACAGCTGTCCTGCTGATTCCTTTTACTGGCACCCAATGAGAAGATTGCTTCCTTGCAAGCCATGCTGCCACGCTTT